CCAAACATTCCCTCGTAACCATATGATGGCGTAGGATCCTCAACCTATGTAACCTGTGTGTTTGCTTCCAACACTATATACAAAAACACATAGGACAACGGAGGAAAGTAGTAAATCCACGAAAGAACACTTTTATTATTCAGTCTTCCGGGAATAAACGAACTATCCTGTTGTCTGGCAATCAAAGTAATATCCGAAATTGTCCAACTATCACGAACCCACCATTTTCGTAAATCATATCTACCAATTGTTCATATGATATTATTCCATTAATAACAAATGAACAATCCGGACGAGACATATAATTAGAAAAATTCCATAACTCACTCTGGGGAATTTTTCAGCATACATTAACAAAATATGGACCGTTACACGCCATTTCTAACGTGTTGCACAAAAAAAAATTTCTATTTTACAAATTACAATAACACAAAATGGCTAATCAAACACCCGATAAAATTTCAATTATTATTTTACCAATCTACATTTAAAACTCATTTCCACCAAGAACATAAAATTATTCATATTTTTACTCCAACAAAAAAAAATTGTCAATTAATTTATCAAAAACACCACCAAAACCCTAATCACCATAATCCAGCAATAACATCAAATTCATAAACAATTCGGATAAATATTCAACATACATTAAACCAACATTCATGATTTTCTAAACAATACTCAATTAACCAAATATATCTCTTATACATTCATAAACAACCAAAAAATAATATTACATTATATTAAAATAACAACTAACCTCTTCTTCGACGATTGGTTGAAAATTTGTTTTTTTTTTAATGCAGTTTCAATTCGCCAAAAAATCGAGCAAAAAACGATTGGAAAAAACGAGAGGAGAAATGAAATGGGAATTTTTTTTTTTTTTCATGCAGCTTCAATTCGCCAAAAAATTGAGCAAAAAACGAGAGGAGAAATGAAATGGGGGTTCTGGCTCGCAGATATATTTAAAAAGCAAAAAACAGATTTCCAAAATTCGTTTTAATCGTTTTTTTTTAATTAAAAACGGATTTTGAAAATCCGTGTTACACGGTAGATGTATTATTATTATTAAATTTGACCGTTTTCTTTTAAAAAAAATAAATAAATCAAAAACAAAAACGGATTATGGAAATCCGTTTTTCTAATAAAAATATTATTAGAAAAACAAATTTTTAAAATTCGGCCGTTTTATTCTTTTCCACAACTTTTTTTTTTATTTTTTGCCACATATTTTATGTTTTTTTAAAATAAATAATGCACCCTAAAATGAGTGTGCTTATAAAAAATGGTAACAATACTAATGTATGAATTGGACCAACAATAAAACTAAGAATAGATATTATTATAAACTACATAAATTCCAATGCAGATATTATACTTGTAAACAAGAGCCTGATCTTATATAACTATGGAACTGAACAAAAAAAAAAAAAG